AACTATTGCATTATTCTGATATTTTAAAAGCTCTTTTGTAATATTATCCCTATGAATTAATGATATAGCATTTTTTTTACGCTGATTTTCTCTTGATGTAGAATTTAATTCCATATTAGATAAGAAATCAATAGCTCAATCAGATGTATCTGAATGATCTAGAAATATTGCAATATCTTTTCTTAATGAGCTGATATGTTTATTTCCAATTCCTACAAGAAAACAACATAAAAAAAAAGCCCTTTCTGTCTTTGTATAACAGTTTGATCCACAAGACCCCTACCATTTGGATTGATCAACTTTTCAAGCATATTGAAAAATAGTCTAAGATTAGGATCCTTAGACTCCATCTCTATTCTGAGTAATTTCCAATCATAAATTGGCAATTCCTTTTCTTTTTTTCTCTTGCATAAAAAATCTATGCCATTGATTTCACATTTTCAATAAAATTAATTTCACTAACTCCCTTATCATCTCTTACCTCTAATGTCTTTTGTTACAAATCAATATCTGTTATCAACTCAGATTCACCATCATGATCAATTTCCATGATCGTGATATCATCTAATTTTCTTTGTCTTTTTAAAGTTCCTCCAATATTACCATTTACAATATATTTCATGTAATGTTTATGACAAAACTGTATAATATCTAATTGCTAAGTAGTATCTAAAGTTTTATGTTATAAGGCTTTGAGTTTAGCATCTTCTGTAAATCTCCAAAACTTAAATTCAGTTCCTTCTACTCCACATATAACACACAGTCCAATAAGTTTCTTTTGCAAATACTGCTTTGAAATTTCCATTATAATATTCAGAATTGCTTATTTTAAAATATGTGATTAGCGGAATTATTTTTGTTAATATGTTGTAAACGACATCTATGATAATAGTATTGTAGTTTTTTTTATCATTACATAAAACAATTATCAAAAATTTGACGCCAATATACTACTCTAAACTATATAAATAATTACATTACACATTTATTGTGTAATAGCCAGTTATGCAAATGTCCGGTATGCTTAAGACATTTACTCATTTACTTATTATTTCTTTTTAATTGAAGTAAATAAATAATTATTTGAATTAAATATGCTACTTTAATTCAATTCATTAAATAAGATTAAGTTTTCAATATATTATGTTTAAAAAAAAGGTTAATAATAAAGAATCTTAAAATTCAAATAAGGTTTATATTTTTAAATGCTTTATTTTAAGTGCAATTTTATAATGTAAACTGATTAAAAATATTGTTAGTTTACATATTTTATATAAATAAAAAGTATATTGATAAAAGTTTTTTTATATTTAAATATTACAATAAAGATTGTTAGAAAAAAAACTTAACAATATAGCAAACTATTTAAATAATAAAATATAACTTAATAAATCTATATTCAAATCTTATTAAAAAAAAATTATATAATATAGATAAAAAATAAAAAAAACCATATAACTTAAAAGTTTAATCATCCAAAATATTGTAACCTAAATGATCTTCAAGAAATTGGAAAAATGACACAGTAAAGTGATCTGCAAATGATTATCATATGAATTGATCTGCAAGAATCAATAACACAATAGTCGGCAAAGGTGATCTGCGAAATTAACCAAATCGGTTAATGAAGAAATGAAATAATAGATCATTAGCCTATGATGACACGTGTAACCTTCTAAACTAGAAACTTCAAATAGGAACTTCAAGAAGAAACTAGTCAAAGTCTAAGTATAAGGATATAGTAATAGTTTAAGAATAATATAATTATATTCTCTACATCTCTTCATATATATATATATATCATAGTTAAAGGACTATTGCATAGCGATTAGGTAGTCATTACTCAATTATTATAACAATATTACA